ACTACCCTTTTCAGTGGGACACAGATCTAAAATGGGAAACGTGAGGGTGGGCATTGCACAGGCACTTTAAGAAATTGAAAATAACACTTTTTAGCAAAAATTACAAAAATATTCACCAAAATTATAGAATATTCAAGATATCATCATGAAATGAACAAACCTAAGAGAAGTCTGCCCAAGGTACATGTACACCAAGTATCAAAGCATTCACGCTTGTAGTTTTCAAGAAGAAGTTGAACAAGTAAAATGTTTCTTTAGTTTTCCATTGGTACCAAACCCTTATATCAACGGCATCAACTGATTTTATTGTTTTAGAAACAGGTGGGTTACATGTAGCAGATTCAAAGATATTGTGAAGGTCATTAATAAATATTTAACAGATTGGGCTATGCATCCCTGTTTGAAAAAAATTGTTCTGTTAACCCATCTTTCATTTTCATTTTACTTTACTGAACATAGCTTTTATATTTTACATGTCGCCTGTAATCATTTTGAGAATTTCCTTCATGCATACAGTTTTTTCAGAATCCCTTGTTACTCGTGATCTGGGGGGCATACTCTCAAGCACATCAACAGGGAGGTACAGGATAAACCTCTTGACCATGAACTAAAACTTTTGTAACAAAAATTAAGTTTATACACATCACACTCATCAGAAAAATAAAGTCCATCAAACATCATCAAAAATTATGTTACCAGTTATGACATAATCAGATTGTATTATGACTAGATGAAAATCAAGAGTGTCATGCTACCTAAGGATGTATAATAGATAGAAGGATGGTCGATTTGTTTCACAGGTTAACTCGTGCCAAAGTCGATTCGTCCAAGTTTTTTGGTTAGCCTGATACTAACTCGTTTAATACAGACAAGATCCGAACAACAAATGGTATCTAATCGTGGTCTTGCACTTATAGTGCATACAAAAGCACCCGGAGGCTGAACCCCAGTGGTTTATTGAATCACACTTTGCAGTACGTTAATCTGTTAACTGTCAAATCAAGTTATTCATATTCCAAGATTATAGTGCAATTAATTAATGTTCTAAAAAATATTGTTGTTAGGACAAGTTGTACTTTCCTATTGTATTTTATATACATCACACATGATTGTCTTGTTACCAATATATAAAGGAAGTCATCCTGCACTAGATCATAAGGCTAACCAATTCAACTTGTGGGACGAATGTGTTGGGACGAATGTGATACACAAATTGACTGTGAATCATACAATATACCCCATAATAAATTAGTTACCTTCCCAGTTAGCATTAGCTGTGGAATCATAGCCCTATGTTGCCGACCGCATTATTTACGTGACTGACTCTGGCCGGCCCATAGGGCTATGGAGCCTTGTGCGACTGAATACCGGTTAAAATCCACATGTCAAATTTGGTCGTCGGGAAAATCACATTTTAAGACCTTCGAAAGTACTTCCAAACAATGACCAGAACCTATTTGCGCTGTGAAATGATGAAGGTGGTCATAACAAATTGACTTTATTTACAGTACACCGAGTCGCAGAAAAATAACAAGACGAAAGACGCCATTTTGTATTCCAGAGTTCATAGCAAATTACGCGAGACCTATAATTTTGTACCACGTGACCGAAATCAGTAGATAAATTGCATTTATGCAACTAGTTTCTATTATTAAACAAAAATCATACAATTATAAATACTGTATGTGATTGCTTTCTTGGAACAATCAGAATAACTGGTTATGGGAAGAGTGAGTTTTATTCTTCCACCACTGTATCACATGACCGCCAAACGAGATTATATTTATTCTGCGCTAGGGAGTGTGGGATGTCAATGGCTGCCGTTTTCTCATAATTTGCTTGGTTTCCGCAGTAATTTTTTGAAAATATCACAAATTATTGCTCATTTATAAACACAAATTGCAAACAAAAGTTTGTATGTTATTCATCCAGCGATCAATTCACAATAAAGGTACGTCACACCATCGTAATCGAAAGCAAAAGCGATTTAATTTGCGTATGTCAGATTTCTGTTTTTAAACGGTGATAGATCCCGTAGCTCTATGTTCGACGTACAACAAAAAAATTAAAAAGAAGACGTCCAAATGAAATTGTTAGGGCGAAATTCGATTGTAGGTCGCACCAAAGAGCTACGGAACCGCAGCTAAGTTAGCATGTGAACCAGATACCCCACACAACACAACACACACACACACATTGGATTGCGAGTTTTCAAGATAAAGGAGGCAACAGTACATACATTCATTTAACCATAATTTAGTTATACTGGTTTTATTGTTATTACACTGTAGCTTCCCAATAAAATAAATGACTGAGACTGACAGCACTATTACTAGCCTAGAGTCCTTCGATAGAGGGGCTGTGACTACCCACACATATTTGATGACGTAAGAACTGACTGCACTATTACTAGCCTATAGTCCTTCGATAGAGGGGCTGTGACTACCCACACATATTTGATGACGTAAGAACTGACTGCACTATTACTAGCCTAGAGTCCTTCGATAGAGGGGCTGTGACTACCCACACATATTTGATGACGTAAGAACTGACTGCACTATTACTAGCCTAGAGTCCTTCGATAGAGGGGCTGTGACTACCCACACATATTTGATGACGTAAGAACTGACTGCACTATTACTAGCCTATATAGTCCTTCGATAGAGGGGCTGTGACTACCCACACATATTTGATGACTTAAGAACTGACTGCACTATTACTAGCCTAAGTCCTTCGATAGAGGGGCTGTGACTACCCACACATATTTGATGATGTAAGAACTGACTGCACTATTACTAGCCTATATAGTCCTTCGATAGAGGGGCTGTGACTCCCACACATATTTGATGACGTAAGAATATTTAAATATAAATTGTTAAGTAACGAATTGATGTGTATCATTAGACTTCTCTCGGTAACAGCACTGGTTATTTGCACAACAAAAGACCGATAGCAGATATAGTCATGAGGGGCACTTTTCCACATGTGACAAACTACTACCACTGTCAATCACTCATTCTCGCCTTTATTTCGCGCCAAATGTTGCATCTATGGTTTTACGTGAGTGTAGTTCAAAAAAAAACTTTGATCAATTGAATGCGATATGTAAAATGATAAAACTATTCTGTAATCGCTTCTAAAAAGTGTTCCTTACCTGTTATAGCACTAAATTGTTCCACTAATGCTTTGAATCCCCTTGATTTGGACGCCATTTTAGCTCCAATCAACAACCTGCGCATTAAATGTGCGCATGCTCATATTACCCACAATGCTTTGGACAGGATGAAAAGTGCAAACCGTATTACGGATATTCTCGACATTCATAACAAACTTTGGTTTTGTATCCGTGGACGATAAAGTGAACGAGACATTTTATTGCTCATGTTTTAAAAAAAATCATACTTTAGTCAACTGAAAACAAAACAAAAAATGTAAATACTTCAGTCCATCATTTCTGATCTTTATTACTTAGTGCCCATATAACATCGCTGAAAAAAAATATTAAATATCAATCTACAGTGGATAGTTCTCCAGTACCTTTCACTATTGTATTCGTCAGAGCTAAGTGCATTTTTCTTCTGATGCGGCGAAACACGGTTATAAATGTTTTAATATACGAGAAAATTCAGTTAAAAGTAAAATGTTGCTTCAGAAAATACAAATTAACCGGTTTTTCTATGTTTAGAAATGTCGTTGAAATTTTTCCTGTATTGTTAGTATTAGTTATTTTTTTATGTTTTCTGATTGTATTGTATTTTTCATCAAAACCTCAAATATGGGGTACGATAGCAATAAAGATGCTATTCTTTTCTTAAAGTGGTTCGTGTCGAATTCAAGTTTATATTTTATGTTCGTCATATTTTCATCATTACGAGTTTATACCATCAGGATAACAAAAACACCAGACGATTTTTCGAGATACAAGTGTTCCAAATGTCACGAATATTTGACATTTTTATATTGGTCTCTGTGGTGTAATTATTTCGTCATATCTCAAGATTTTTCTGATTGATATGGGATGGAACAGTCGTATATTAATATTGATATGGATCCTAATAACGTTATACAACATTTTAGAACATTGACTTTGGCAGTTTTCAGTGATATAATTGTTTTTCAATACATACAATGGACGAGTAAAATTCGGTTCAAACTGCCTTGAATGATTAGTGGAATTTTAAAGAAATGAAAAAAGACGAATATTTCCCTATCCGTCATTACAATAAAAGGCCCAATAGACGGGACGAAGAGACTCAATATATTACACCAAATCAAACTAAAAGAACAAGACAGGACGTTTCAGGTGAGAACACAAAAACAGTGAGAAGTATACAACCATGCAGTCTTTATATTAAATACATATTGACAAAGAGGGTGTGATACAAATGTTGGTCCTGACAGCCAATCACTAGGTCGTTGGGCAATTGAGAGCGTAATTCATACATCCAGACTTTGTAACTGGTGTAAAAATTAAGGAATTAATGGCACGGGCAAAAATGGCACGAGAAATAATGGTACAGGTAATAATGGCACAGGAAATAATTGCCTAGGTAATAATGGCATAGGAAATAATGGCTCAGGTGATAATGGCACAGAAATTAATGGGTCGGGTGATATTGCCCAGAATAATGGCACGAGAAATAATTGCCCAGCTAATAATGTCACAGAAATTAATCTCCCAGGTGATAATGGCTCAGTATTAATGTCACGAGAAATAATGGCTCAGGTGATAATAACACAGGAAATAATGGCGCAGGTAGTAATGTCACAGGAAATACTGGCTCAGGTGATAATAACATAGGAAATAATGGTGCAGTAGTAATGTCACAGGAAACAATGGCTCCGGTGATATTGGCTCAGGTAATAATGGCACAGGAAATAATTGGCCAGGTAACAATGGCACAGGAAATAATGTTACGGGAAATAATGGCACAGGTAATAATGTCACAGGAAATAATGGCTCAGGTAATACTGGCACAGGAAATAATGACTCAAGTAATAATGACACAGGAAATAATGTCTCAAGTAATATTGGCACAGGAAATAATGGCTCAAGTTGTAATGACACAGGAAATAATGGCTCAGGTAATAAAGACACAGGAAATAATGGCACAGGTAATAATGTCACAGGAAATAATGGATCGGGTAATAATGGCACACGAAATAATGGCTCAGGTAATAATGGCACACGAAATAACGGCCGAAGTAATAATGGCACAGGAAATAATGTCTCGGGTAATAATGGCACAGGAAATAATGGCTCAGTAATAATGTCACAGGAAATAATGGCTCGGGTAATATTGGCACACGAAATAATAGCTCAAGTAATAATGGCACACGAAATAACGGCCGAAGTAATAATGGCACAGGAAATAATGTCTCGGGTAATAATGGCACAGGAAATAATGGCTCAGTAATAATGGCACAGGAAATAATGGCTCAGGT